TTATTAGACGCTTCCTAACTTAAACAACAAAGCAGGAATTCTACAGGATGTGTCATCATGCATAAACAGTCTCCCTGCTCTCGACCAGGCCTGACCTGGTATGCCGCAGTTGGAGCTTCGATTTGTCCCCCACTGGGCAGAGGCAGAAGTTACACACAAACCAGTTTAAATGATCAGAAATGGGTTTAAACCTGTAACGGAACGCAAGTTTAGTCCACTTAAACCACTTACAAAATGGCTGAAACCAGTTTAAGATAAACCTGGTTGGATGTACTATCAGACTTAACAGATTTAGGTCAAACCGGTTTATGGAACTTTTATCCCAGACCCCTTCCTGGTTGAAGTTAACTCACAATCCCCTAGCATCCCAGGATGCTTTGCAGCCCTGGGCTGGGCTGTCTGCTCCAGTGGAGCAATGCTGGCCCCACCCCTTTGCTCCCTTGCTGGAGCACTATCACTGCTCCAGCTGGCTGAGAAGGGGGTGGAGGTGGGAAGCGTGGCTCTAAACCCCTAGCAAGGGCAAAGCAGCCCCTCAGTCTTTTCCTCTGCTCTATGCCTGAGCAGAAGGGTGAAGGGCATGGTCAGACACCAACACGCTGAGGCAGAGGTGGGGGGAAGCGGGTTTAAACCCACCTGCCCCCTGCCTGCATGGGAACCTAGCTGGGATTTGCCTGGCAAGAGCAAAGCAGCCCCTGCCTGGGTTTTCCCCTGCTCCCCACTCAGAGGGGTGGGGGTTGTAGCCTTATACCTACCAGGCTGGCATGTTGAGCTTGAGGGAGGGAGGCGGTTTAAAACCCATGTTCCCCCCCTGCAGGGGACCCCAGTTAGGGCCTGCCTGGCTGGCGTCTGGTCATACTCCTGACCCCTCTGCTTGAGCAGGGAGCAGAGGAAAAGCCAGACGGGCTGCTTTGTCCCTCCCGGGTAGATCCCAGCTGTGTTCCCATGGGGTGGGGGTGGGGTTTAATCCCACCCCCGGTTCTGGACCTACTACCATGCTTTTACCCCCACCCTAGCTACCTGCTTGAGGTGGGGAAAGGGCAACCCTTGCTGGGTTTTTCTCCCACAGTTGAGCAGAGACCGTGGCTACCCCCCAGTCCAAAGCTGGCACACTGAGGCATTGGACTTAAGCTCCCCCTCCCTCCCCACCTGAGCATGCAAGCCCCAGGTTGGGGTGTGGCCATGTCCCCTCTCTCCATTAGAGCGAGTAGCAAGGGGAGGCAAAAGCCTGAAACCCCAGCTGGGGTCCAGGGCAGTGGAGTTCAATTGCAACTATTTAAACCCCCTGCCTGAGCCTACAAGCCCCTGGCTTGCGCATGGCCACACCCCGCACTCTGTTCAAGCAGGGGGTGGGGGTCTGCCAGGGGCTGCCCCATTCCCCTGAGGCAGGCCTAGGCTACAGTCCCATGCAGCCAGGGAGGGCCTTCCCACCTTGGTCTTCAAGCCTCTGGCTGAGGTGTGGCCACCCCCCCCCCAGCTGGGGGTTGGGGGGCAAAAGTATGACAGGGACTTCCTCACCCCCCAGCAGGGAATGGCGAACAAACCTGGCCGGGTCTGCCCCCCCCCCCCAGGCAGACCAGGGCTGGGGTCTCATGCCGGGGGGGCGGGGGAGAGGGCGTTAAGCCCCACTTCCCCTGGCTTCAGCATGCTGGCCCCATGGCTGGGGCCTGGCCACATGCCCTCCCCTTGTGTAGGGGAGAAAAAAAAGCCTTGCCGCGCGAGCCTTGGCCCAAGCTGTCTGCTCCAGCCAAGCAGGGGGGCATGCTCTAGCGCCATCTAGCTTCTGGCCTGAGCCACTGCAGGCATGTAGCTGCATTTCCGGAATCAGAAGTGAATGTCTGTTCACTTGCTTATTGGTTCAATCTGCGCAGCTCAGACTAACCTACAAAGGTTGAACCGATTTAGCCTCTGGCTTTTTGACTGTCTGTACTTAGCCACGGAGGCCCAGGCTGAAACAGACTGAGTATGGACACCTTTGAAGAATTTGCTTCTAAAACTCTTACAAGTATGTACAAACTTCAATTTGTAATGGCTTGTATGTTTCCATCAATGGTGGACATTCATGATAACAGCCAAATGCCCATTCTTAAGATAGAGGCCATATTCTTGCCAAATTTCAAGCTTTTACTCAAGTCTGGAGCCATAGGGAGCTAACACTTCTTAAAGAATAGGTTTCCAGAATTTTTTTAAAGGAGGCCAAATCATTTATTTTGTCAGGCTTCATTTTTTTTTCAGAGGCGTCTGGATAAATTCTGGCTGAAACTTCCCTGAACAAAAAGTGGTTGAAGGCATATACCTCGTTTGGAAATTCTGGTTGAAATGATTAACATGGGGCAAAGCTTTACTAGCAACTGAAAACAAGTCCTTATGGGAAGTGTCAGGCAACCCTAATTATAGGCTGTATTATCATCGTCTGTAATACTTCAAAATTACCGTGAAACCCAGACCGGAAAGACAAGCTCTCCTGTCTCTAGAATCCACCCAAGTATCCTTAAATACTGTTGTTCTGACCTTTTTAAAAAAAAAAACAAAAACCAACAAACAAAAAACCCTGTGTCTGCTTGGTAGTGAGCTGCTGCAAACTGAAGGAGCACTAGGGCTGTTCTCCATTTGCTAGAAAATGGGGCAGCAGGGAACATGATTGACAGGATTCCATTGATCTACAACTCACTTCCAACCTGAAATAGTCCAAGTTGAGGATATTCAGAACACAGTTTAAATGATCCTCGTCTTGATAGAGTGTTTGGAGGAGGCAGATAATATGCTTCCTGAATGGTGAAAACTTAGGAAGGAGTTTTTGTACAAGACTGTTTAAGTTTCCATCTGATTGATTGTTTTAATGGTGCTGAGATCTAGCTCTATTGTTAATGGTAGGTTGGAATCTTGGGTAGGTGTCCTTTTTTGTTAAATATTTAAAATTTAAGTTAACCAGTTTTATTCAAGTCTTTTGAGTAGTTGCTTAAAACAAATTCTGCTGTGTTTTGTTGGGAACATCCCCTAGGTTAGTATTCTCAGTATTTTTCAAAGATGGGAAGATCTCTGTAATGATTTAAGTGTGTTTGAACTAAAATACTGGCAGTAGTTGTAATTTCTGCTTCAGCTTTAGTTAGTTTTTCATCCTTAGTCATCTTTAGTTACTTACTTCATAGCAAACATTTACTCTGAAAGCGCATTCATATTGCACAAAAGGAAAGTAGTATATTAAAAGCCTGGCTATCCAGGCCAGTGTTTGCATTCTTTCCAGAGTCATGGATGTCTCATAGTTGGGGATTGGACAAAAACTTGTCTTTAATACCACTTTAGAAAACTAGCCGAATGTTTGCCGTTTTGCGGAGTAGTCGGAGGGTGTTCTTCTTTCCACCACTAAATACTTTGTTTCATTTTTGAAGTGGACCATCTTCAGCTGTTTGTGTATATAAGAAAAATGCTGCTACTCCACCAGATGAAATGGAGTGGACTCTTAAGAGTAATTTAAAAACCTCATTTCTGATTAGAAAATGTCATGTATAAAGTAAACCACTACTACTGTTACCAAAGTAGGTGCAAGGAGAAGGGTTTTGGTTTTTATTTTTTTGTAGCCATTTAATTTTTTTTTTTTTTTAATTGAACGCTATTCTTGGGGTTTGCCGCATGGTTTGAGGGGAGCCTTAATAACATGACACGTAAAGGCCAGAAAATGCTGTCTATGCAGAAGCTACTTCAATGTCAGAGCGTACACATGTTCAGACACTAGTAGTTACTCACCACTTTTTTAAGAGTGTCTGATAAAAGGCTTCTTTTTAACTTGACTTCAACTCCCACACGTTCCTTTTAATTCTGGTTTAGTGAAACTTGGGCACTTTTATTTTGCAGGTTCATGAAGACTCTTTTGCAATCTGTCTTGTTATTGTTTGGCTGTTAATAACTGGAAGAAATTGACCAAGCATGATAGCGGAAAAAAGGCGCCAGCAGTTGCCACAGTGACAGCTGTCCAATGTAAATATCTTACGACTCTTCTGTTTATCATCTGTTTTCAGGGCAGTTTAAGCTGCTGGAACAAGACCGAGATATTAAGGAGCCAGTGCAGTATTTTAACAGTGTGGAGGAGGTGGCTAAAGCATTTCCTGAACGAGTTTACGTCATGGAGGAAATAACGTTCAACGTTAAGGTAGCCCCTGAATAAATATTTATTGCCATCTAAATGATTAAGTGTTGCAACCTTTATATACATGGCAAATGTGCAGCTGCATTATGTGGGAAGAATGACTTTTTGGGACAGATGAGTCTAAGTTTTGCATTCTAAAACAAGGATTGTTGGTGTCTTTTTTTTGTAGCATTAAATCTCTGCGCTCTCCAAGAGCTGTTTTTCCCCATAGCCATTTAGGAAAGCACCTCTGATCATTGCAATAAAATGGATAGATATTGTTGCCAGCTTTTAGACAAAGTGTTTTTGTTGCACCCCAAAGCAGCCTGTTTTTTACCTCCTGCTAGGCAGCAGCTGCTACACTCACTCTCCAGAAAGTCTAATTTCCAGACCGCGCAGAGGTCTTTGATCAGATGGCAGGCTACCACAGTGAATAAAGCAAAACAAGAAAAAGACCAATTGCTCTCAACAGAGGAGATAAGTGAATCGCATGGGAATGCAAAAAGGCCTTTATAGCCATACACAGAGACTGGCATTCAGTAGAGTAGTGGCTGGCTGAATCTGCGTACGTGAAGTCTTACCTGTGTGTCCCATGGGATAGAGTGCAAGCCAGAGGAGCTCTCAGTGTAGATTAGAGTGGCCGTGAAGCTTCTCTATTTTGTGCTAGCTGAAACACCAACTAAAGCTTGTTGATCAACTTCCATGTCCCAGGGTGGGAGTGAGCTGATTATTGTGCAGTGAATTCCCTCCTCTGGTTAACTCTTCACCCTCCTTGCACTACAAGAGCATGGGACCAGGGTCTAGCCCAGGGGTGGGCAGTTACTTTGGCTGGCGTGCAGCTTAATGAATTTTGGTGAGCTGTCGAGGGCCACACAGACAATCTTTCAGAAGAGCTCATTTTAACATATGAGAGAGAGAGATTAAAAAAAAAAAAAACTACACAAATCGTATACTAAAAACAAACCTCTACTATAACATTTTAATTTTATTTCAAAAAATTAATTATTGTCCTGCTTGATGGTTTTTAGTAGTGTGTATAGAGGCAGTTGCATAATAGTTCAAAAGAATGTCTTACTCTTGTATATTAGGGGGAGGAGTATATGGGGGCTGCACGTATGCTATGTCCTGGGAGTTGGCTAGGGGTGAGGGAGGGCGTGGGGGGCAGGGAGCACGTGCAGCACAGCATGCCTAGACAATGCGGTGCAGGTGAGATCTATCCACCACCCCCTCCATCCCACCTGCAGCTGTTCCAGCAGTGCTCTGTATGGGTCTGAGCCCCACCTGGAGCAGCCTGCACCACACACCCTCCCTGCACCCACCAATGGCCCTCACCCCAGCCAGCATGCACAGCTTTCCAATGGGGCTGCTCCCACTGCTGCTGCAGCATCCAGGTACTGCTTAGCTCCCCCTGCCTCCAGCAGTTCCTCCTCTTCCTGCCACACCACTCAAGGCAGCAGGTGGTGTGGGAAAGTGGTGGCAGCTGTTGGGATGCGTGCCAGGTACCACATGGCCAGCCAGGCAGCTCCAGCCCCAACATACAGAGCTCTAGCTCCCAGCTGCCTTCCATCCATTCTTCCCACCTGGCAGGATGATCAGCCACTGGCTAACAATGTTAATCCTGAGGTAGAGTGGGTGGAAGGTGGCCAGGAACTGGAGCCCCACACACTGGGGCAGGAGCCACATGGCTGCAGTTTCCCCCCTGCCTGGCTGGGTATGTGGTGCCCAGCACGCATCCCCATGGCTGCTGCTGTTTCCCTGCACTACCTGCTGCCCAGAGCAGCGCAGCCAGGGCAGGAGGAGGAGGAGGAGGAGCCACTGGAGGTGGGGGAAGATGAGCAATACCAAGGCGGCTGCAGCAGCAGAGAGAGGAGCCCTGGCAGGAAGCTGTGCATGCTGGCCAGGGCGGTGCCATCAGCAGGCAAGGGGTGGGTGCTGGCAAGAGTGTGGTGTGGGCTGTCCTGGGTGGGAGTATGCAGGGCTTGACCTCATGCAGAGCACTATGGGTACAGCCACAGGCTAAATGCAATCAACTGGTGGGTTGGATCCAGCCTACGGGCCATGTTTTGTCCACCTCTGTTCTAGCCATAATTTATACGTATGAGGCAGGGTTGTTCAAGGTTGCTGTGTAAGTCTAAGTGAATGTGGATTAACTGATGTAGTGGTGCAATAAATGAAACTTCTGGGAAAGCACATTGTCATTTACATGATTATAAATAAGGGGATTTCATAAATGAATCCAATAGGAAGTTGCAGAATAGTTTTGTTTCAAGGACGCTGTTTAATTTAACTCTGCTTAGAGTTAACATTGTTAGCATTACTCAGTTGACCAGTGGAAAAAGGTATAGTACTATACCATTGTACTTATACCAGCAAAATGCACTTCTGTGATTTTTATAATGAGAGTATAGTACTGCAGCTTAAATATAAATTTTTCCTGTGTAAATTGAATAGGGATGTCTTCAGTTATACTTCCCATATTCAGTAAACAATGTAAAGTTTGAATATCAGCCTTATATTCTGAAAATCACTGTGTGGTAGTATTTTACTATGTTTAACAATGGGCTAAGAAGTCATCTTAGCTGTTTTGCCTAAGTGTTTCAAATTGGTGAATATTTAAAGTCTGTTTGCTTCCAGAAATAAAAATAAAATTGAAGTAATTTATCAGGATTTTAATAAAGAGCTATTATTTAAACCCAGAGTATCAAGCGCATCAGGCCCTGTGGGCCAGATGACTGGCACAGGGCTGGTTTGTGAGCCAGATCCAGTGCATGGGACTAGTATGATACAGGCCGCACATGCAATGTTTGCCCCATGCTGGCTCCATGTTCAGTGTGCACCTTGGACCACTCCCAAATGCAGATCTAGTCATGGTAATCATAAGCAGCACCATGGGCTGGATGGTAGGGCTCAGTAGGCTGTATCTTTGACATACTTGATTTAAACAATTTATTTTGATCAGACCGTACATTTTCTGCTACAGGACACATGTTATATGTAGAAGTTCATCTAAAATTGACTTAAGCAAAGAGAGAAGGGATTAAAATATATGAATTACTAGATTATTCCTAAATTAGATCTTTAAAAATTATGCAGAATAGGTAATGTACTAAACACATTTTATACATGGATGAAGGAAGGAGAAAGCATCATGTTTCTATCCAAGCCGTCTTTTAGACTATGCAGGATTTGCCCAGAGGCCCGTGTGAAGTACTTAAGATCTGCATCAGGCTTCTTCAGTCTGGAAGTAAATGTTTTTCTTTCCCATCTTGCTTAATGACAGAAGGGTCTTGATTAGATTCCATCTGCATAGGAGAGGTGATTGGCATGGGAAAATAGCTGCTAATAGCTGTGCAATAGAGATCTGCAAAGGGACCTTTGTAACCAAAAGTAACTAACAAAAAAAAACCCCAAACAAACCAAAAAAAACCCCCCAAACCTGATAAGAAGGTACGTGTAAGAAAACTGAATTCTGTACGCACTTTTAAAGGCAGGTCAGGAAAGTCTTCTGCCACAATGACTTGTTTAAAAAATAAAGCTTCTACCCAGTTAATATGCTCATTTATTACATTCACCTGATCCAGATATTTACATTCCCACGAGCAACAATTTTACTCCAGTTTTATTCTTTCAAGTAGCATCCTTTGAAGTGCGATGTCATAGAAATCATAGAAAATTTAGGGCTTGAAGGGAACTTATGAAGTGTCTAATCCAACCCCCTGCTCAAACTGGCGCCACCCCCAACTAGATCATCCAAGCCAAACCTTTGACTAGCCGGGTGTTTAAAAACCTCCAAGGATGGAGATTCCACCACCTCTCTGGGTAACCTGTTCCAGTGTTTTACTACTCTCCTAATAATAAAATTCTTCCTAATACCTAAACTAAACTTCCCTTGTTGAAACTTGAGACTGTTGCTCCTTGTTCTGTCATCTGCCACCACTGAGAACAGTCTAGCTCAATGGTCTCCAACCTTTTTTAAGTACGAAATCACCTTTGGCATTTAAAAACCAACCCAAAATTTACCATGCACCACCACCATCCCCATAAAGCATGGGATTGTTCCATCCTAAGTATAGGACTTTGCACTTGTCCTTGTTGAACCTCATGAGATTTCTTTTAGCCTAATCTTCCGATTTGTTTAGGTCTCTCTGAATCCTAGCCCTACCCTCCAGCAGATCTACTACTCCCCCAGCTTGATACCAGCTTGGTATCATCTGCAAACTTGCTGAGGGTGCACTCTGCCATCTTTCAGGTTGTTGATGAAGACATTGAACAGAACCAATCCCTGGGGCACTCCACTTGATACCAGCTGCCAACTAGGCATCGAGCCATTGATTACTACCCTCTGAGCCCTAGGCTTCAGCCAGTTTTCCATCTACCTTAGTCATTCATCCAGCCCATATTTCCTTAGCTTGCCTGAGAAAATGTTGTGGGAGATGTGCGGGCCGGCTCCCGGTCCCGTCCTCGCTGGGCCCATCTGTGTGCACGCGGGCTGTGGCCGGCAGCCCGGGCACGCGGGGACAGAGAAAAGCCGCGGGGTGGAGTAGTACGCTCGAGCTAGAATCAGTCACGGAGGCGTAATGGTTGATTGAAAAGATTATTTACTTACACCGGAGATGGTCGCGGTGCAAGCTGGACAGTTTTCCAGGCTCAGCTCCGCTTGAGTTCTCGGTGGAGGACTCTAATAAACTCGGTTCCTTGACCCCGGAGTGAATCAGGCTCCGCGGGGTTCAAGAATTCGTTCCCACGGAGCAGCTGTATCTCCGTGAGTGCCCCGGAGTTTGCTAGGCTCCGGGGGTTCGGCAATTGGAGCCTCTATCGCCTTCTTAAGAAAGACGCGCTGGGTTCGAAAGGACCCACAGCGCTTAGAGATCCGTCTCTCCGTCTCTCTCTCCGTCTCTCTCTCCGTCTTTCTCTCCAACTTGGGCGGAAACCACCCAAGCCTTTTGTACGGCTAGCAAGCCAATAGCTAGCCGCCACGTGTGCCTAAATTAAGACCTGCCAATAATGTGGCTCAAATCTTAATA